TAATAACGGAGCACCGTCTACTGTCACACTGGGAAAAAAAGTGAAATCCATTCAATGAAATTTGCAATGGACGACTTTAGAAAAAAATTTTAAAAATTTAGAAAAAATTTAATCTGGGAATAAGAAAGGATATTTTCGGAAAGAAGTTATCAAAATTAGAAAAACTGCAAAGTTTGGTTGCGAAATGTTGTAAAATACGGAAAATATAGCCCTGCGAAGTTGGCAAATTTGGATACATTTCTATTACGTGCGGAAATTGGTAACTAATTTAGTTACCAATTCACGCACGTAATACAAAAGTATACAAATTTGCCAACTTTGAAGGGCTATATTTTCCGTATTTTACAACATTTCGCAACCAAACTTTGTAATATAACTAATTCCAAGACGTTCTTTCTAGCTGTGGTGATAGATTTCGTTGTTCTTACTTAGATTAAAATTTAGTCTAAAGCGCAAGTCGTCCATTGCACCACTAAATCCATAGTATATCAATACTGTTTCGATACTATATCCACACTATGTAAATATACAATTATTATGGATAATCAAAATCCATTCTATTTCCAATAAAGGTCCATGCAATTTCCATTCTATGGATTTTCAAAATTTTTTCCAGTGATTAGGGGATAACCCCAACCCACCCTGTCAGCATTCCCTGTGGGTGGAAACCGGAGAACCCGAAGAAAACCCGGGGAGTTTCGGTATAGAGCGTTGACTGACTCGTTTTCCATACGTGTCCACAGCGAGAATCGAAGCCACGATCTCAGAGGTAAAAGGCGCTTGCTGTGATGATTGTACAGTGTTCATGCAGCTGTCGATATTCCAGAACTAATCGTGATATACTGAATTGAAATGAAATAATCTTTATATTGAGGAAGCGTCGTCACCGCAAAGTGATTTATGCGAATCCGTAGTCTTATCTAGCCACGCATTCGATGACGCGTTCTAAGTTAAGATAAAACCTCGTCCAGACGGTTTTGGAAGATTTATACTGTTTCGTAAGAAATACTAATTTGTTAACTCGTATTGGCTTCACGACCTTTTTTTATGCGTACAACATTAAGTCGAGCATGTATTAAGTCACGACTCAAAGAATTGGAAAGTTCGCGAAGGAGGTTACTTCTGTTTAAAGGCTGCTTAACCATTCTAAAAATATGTTAGCATGATAGCAAATCAATATACAGTAAGTATTTCTCGTAAAACAAATACTTTACCTTGCCCTTTTAACCTCATTAAATACACGCAATGTAATGTGGGATACATGTGGATCACAGTGACGTAAGGACTTCTAAGGTCAAATGTACGCGCAGTAGCAACTATGAATTAAACATCTAACATTACTGATATCATGATTTTTTCTGTGTTTGTGTTGTGTACTCAAGTGAATAAGATGTTTGTGAACTTACTTTGAGTGTATATCCACACCGGGCAAGCTTGAAAAATATGCCTGGCCACGGTGGGAATCGAACCTACGACCTTTGGAATACTAGCCCAATGCCCCATGATCTGCCAACTGAGCTACGCCGTCAGGTCGGTGGCATATTTTTCAAGCTTGCCCGGTGTGGATATACATGTACACACAAAGTAACTTCACAAACATCATTACTGATATCAGTATTTCATATATAGCATCTCCTGTAAACAATTTCTAAAGTTCAGTCAGTGTAACACAAGGCCAATGCAATCTATTTTTATTTCAGTGCTATTTCGCAACAAGGATTAGCCTTGTGTTGCCAACCTTTTCAACCTGCTCAAATAAGTAGAAAAAAATGTGAAAAGTCAATCATGGATTTCAGATCTAATTCAGTAAGTTCGCAACGTTCTATTGCAAAAATGACTAACGCTTGTTTATAGTTCATAGCCAGGTAGATAGGAGAGAAAAAAAAACTCAACTGATTAGGGAGCAATTCCATTTTACCTTCATCGTGTGTGCCTTTAAGAATTAAGCCTAGTAAAGTACATTTCTGTATGTCGGCGCGTTCAAATTCCTTTTGGGCGTCTGCCAACAGGTTTTTCTTCGATTTTCTTATTAATTAAACTCCTATATTGTTAAAAACGTGAAATTTCGGGTTAATTTCGAGAAAAATTAACTTGCATCATTAGAAAGCTTACAAACAAAACTACATATAAGATTTTTCAAGCGGTGTTCGAGTTATTGCTGTTCCAAAATGTGAAAACTAGGCCAAAAACTCTCACAAATCCTGGGCACTACTCTGAAAACACGTTTTCTAAAGCTCATAACTCAAGAAGAACTTGAAAAATCAAGCTAACCTCCCAAATGTCTTATATGTAGATTTTTGTAAGCTTTCTAATTTTGCAAGTTATTTTTTCTATAAATGAACCTGAGATTTCACGTTAATATAGGGACTTATTAGGCTGAATGGAAGAAAAACGTGTCGGCAGAAGCCTACAAGACATTTGAACCCCGCCCACGTACAGAAATGTACTTACCAGCCTTGAAGCACAAAAGGAAGGCTAAACGGAATTGCCCCCTGATATGGTGAGTTTTCATTCATTTTTGATCCTCTGTCTGCCTGACATGAGTGGCTAAAGCAACAATGTAAACAATTTGCAGCCGATTATATATGTCTATAATAACAAAAAGACTATATATTTTGTCCCCATATTGTCTCGTAGACCGTGACGCGGCCTTGAAAATTTAAAGAGGTTTGGGAACGAGTGTAAAACGTGATCATGTTTCGCCACTTCTAGAAATATTTTTTCTGCTTTCTACGAATGTATTTTTTCTGTGTTTCTCTCTATATATTTCTCTGGAAACATATAGTGATTCCCCACGTGACGAAATTTTCATTATACATATACAAATAGACAGAATATTTTGCGCGTATTCCTATAGAATGCCATGAGATAAAAATCATGCTTGTATATTTTATCTTTTGTCTGAAGTAAAACGTGGTGTATTGTCAGGTGTAACTGTTTTCAAAATTGATACTCATCATTTATTTTCGAAATAGTAATATAGTTTGCATGGAGATAACAATATTGACTGTGGAATTTATAAATAGTTGCACAAACTATAGACTTATGTGAACTAAATTATAATACAGGGTTCGAAATAACGATTCGTGAATCACAAATCGATTTGGACTTTTTACGAACCTAATGTCGCTAAAATAACGTCAACGTTTCAAGCGAGTTAGACTCAGTTTGGCGTCTGGAAGTTGGCTTCTCTATGCTCCCGACGAAAGGCTTCCCGAGGGTAAATTACTCTGAAAAAAGCGTACGAAGATTTTTGGGATTAGAGAATTCCGGCAATTTTTCTCGGGATTCTGGGATTTTTTCCCAAAATTTAAGGGATTTTTTTCAGCTGATTTTTCGAAATATTTTCCCTTCTTTTTTTTTTCGCCGAACTTATTCCGAAATTTTTTGCGACATATTATCCGTCGAATTATTTTTAAAATGAAGTAAATCAACGAAGGGCATTTTCACGCCAATTCACGTACGATTTAAATGTTTAAATTTGATGGGATTTCTCAATATTGCAATAATTTTGAGGATTTTATTGGGCTTTTTCCAAGTATTTTATGCAATTTTTAGAGATTTCTTGGGATTTGGGGATTCTGTGATTTAGTAAGATTTTGGGATTTTTTATGAAGTTGTTTGAATTTTTCCCTCGAGGCTTCCCACTTGAAACGTCGAAGTTCTCGGCTTAGATTTTTCAGCCACTTGTATATCCTTCACATGCACCGCAGCTTTCTAAAATAAAAATATTTGTTTAGATGAAAAGTGTGATATAAAGTTACTAAATAATATTTGTAATCTGCTGTGTTGGTGTAATGTACTCAGGTGAATAAGATGTTTGTGTGATGTTACTCTGAGTGTATATCCACACCGGCCTGCCCGGTGTGTATATCCACATCGGGCAGGCTAGTATTCCAAAGGTCGTAGGTTCGAATCCCGCCGTGGCCAGGCATATTTTTCAAGCCTGCCCGGTGTGGATATGCACTCAGAGTAACATCACACAAACATAAATAATATTTATTTTCAGGAAGCTTTCTCACAAAGCGATTTTCAGAAAGGTCCTGTACTATAAATAAACAAATTTGCAAGGAAGACATGCATTTACTACATAACTATGAGAAATATTTAGGAATTATACGAGGAAAAGTTCAAAGATTGCTAAAAACTTTCTCCTAAATGCAGATATACTACTAGAGAGTTTTATCTTTATGTCCAAGTTGTTCCAGTCTGTTATGACCTGATAAGCAAGTCTTTGCTTTCCCCAACCCCTAGTTCCCAAGCTGTTCCCTACTTTTGAAGCTCGACACTTTAGGTGGCTTAAATTAAACAGTTATATACCATATATGCTTGCTTTCATAGACGGATTTTCTGGAACGAGAGCAAAAGCTGAAAATACCCCCTCCGAGAGCAAAATCTGAAAATCTATCTGCTTGCTCTCACGACTTTTTAAGCAGAGGAGGAATAATTTTTACTTCATATCATCATGAACATGATACCGAATTTTCTACGACTGATAAAAGCTGTGTCTGTTCGCCTGTATAGATAAGATATTTTTCTATTTTATGTTTTTGTATTATGTTATTCTCTCTCAGTGGCGGATTTGAAAGCCTTTGGATGATTGCTGAACAACCATGAGGCTTTGGTAGACTATAATTGTATCCCCAATGTTTCACGAAGTATCCGTCCTATTGATATTCTATTCTACAGGGTTTTTCCTCCGTTAAATTATTTTGTATTAAGGTGTCTCGATAGGAAAAATCGACCATTTTTGATAGCTTGTTTCATTGCTACAGAATTTATGGAATGATATTATTTTTTTGGGCGGAAAATACACTTAGGACATTGACCAAAAAAAATTGGTGCATATTTATTGAATTGCACGACTGTAGCACCCTTACTACTACATACAGCCTACTTTTCCGTCATTGAAAATTAAGGCGTCGCAAGAAACTTGATATTGGCAAATATATAATAGGTATGGTTTTAAAACTTTTAAAAATTCACATCTGAAACAAATTTTCTCATGAAGAGTAACCTTTATTTAACATTCACTTACAATAATCTTTAATTCATTAAAATATCTTTTTTTAGAAATGCATGTCTCTCACACATCCGATGTGCAGGTAACTGTTATTTATATAACCCGTAGAACTATGTGTACAATTACCTGTCGTTGCAAATGCTTTATGTGGAAACAGTTGTCCGTTTCTTACTTTATTTTTATACGTGAACTTTGAAGCCTGGTTTGCAGTACTCTAATTTGTTGTATCATTCTATCCATATATTTATGAATATTTGCGCACAAGTAATGAAGACAAATGAATTGTTGGCATCGCCCAACATTATCTCGTAAATCACTTTGTACTAATGAAAAATATTAATAAGCAAAATGTCAAAAGTACACTAGTGAAGTAATCTGAACATCAAATAGTAGCTCATTATAGACGCGCTTTGCAGTTGCTCATTGCAGACGCTATCATTCCATGTCGGGGTGAAGCAGAATACTTTTCTTTGTAATAATATACATGAAAAAAATTCTAAATTCTGATTGGCTAAGAGCAGCGCAATTTGTTCGAAAATCAGTGCCAAGAAATGAAATACAGTGCAAGAAAAGAGTTTTTTTTACTATTTAGGCTTTCTGATTGGCTTAAAATATGAAACAATAACAAAGATATCCAATAAGATACAGCAATTTCCAGCAGAAAAAACATTTAGTTGAAAAATATTTCCACAAACATTTAGTTGTTTTTAGGAGTGACAAAAATGGCCGGCATTTTTTTGTAAAAAAAATGGCTGCCGTTAATTTTTCATGTATATTATTAAAGACTTCAAATATATTTTCAAAGACTTCACATTGCACTCGTCCTTCGGACTCGTGCAATTTTGATAGTCTTTGAAAAACTCACTCGTGCATGTTTTTCTCAAAGTGCACTCGAAACCACTATTATTACCTATACATATTCAATATTGCTATACCTTCGATATTTTTGAAATATTTTTTCTTTCAAATATTAATAATATTCCTATCAATATTCAAATATTAATAATATTCCTATCCTATCTTTTTACGAGAAATTTTCATATCCTTACGAGAAATATTCATAATCAAACTAGTTCAATATTCCACTCCACCCCTGAGATAAGTCTATAATGCTGACAATGCAACTGTAAACATAATCCGCGGTAAACTTTCTTCACTGTCTTTGTAAGGTGGTATAGAAACCAGGCTTAAACGCTCAACTTTTTGCCACTGACCTCAATTACTCGCTGATATACTACATGACGTGAATAGCCTAAAACGTATGACGTATTTTTGCACACGTGACATGTTCGTGTTCCCGTAGTTTAAATACCATTATCTATATAGTACGTATATAAATACTTAAAACGTATTTAACAAAACAATAACTTTAAAAATACTCTTTTATCTATGAATACAACTCACTTTGCATTTTTGACTGTCACTTTACGGCCTGCTAGAAAACACATCCCCGCGAATGAAATTTTTGAACAAATAATTCTAAGCTTTTTGAGCAGCTAATTCTAAGAAAATGTGAATCAGAAGTTTCGGGACGCAAGAAATGAATATTTTTAAAATATAGGCTATGGAAAACATCCTCTGTTTCAAGTAAGAAACCTAACCCTAAAATCTAGGAAACATGTTTTGATCGATGTTTCCAGAATATACTATGATACAATTTATAATATAGCATTTGTAAATTCTGAACGCTGATTGGCTAAGAGCCGTGTTGATATAACTCAATGTCAACACGGAAACGTCGGAAATTTTCTTTCTTTATGTTTCTTTGTGCTATATTATAAAACAAATATAAAACATTTTTTCCGTATTGATATACAGTTATATCAACACTCGTGGAAATCGGGATAAATATTTGTTAAATAATAATTATTGTTATTGAAGAGCGATGGTACTTACATGTGCTGCCGTAATTTACAGTCTAATTTTAATTCCTCCAAAAAGAAATGCAGAACAGCGCATAATGTGACATTAACATAGAGAAATTATGGAAATAGCGAAATCCGACTATTGTTGAACCGAATTGAATAAATCTCAAATTAGCCATTTCCCAAAGTCCTGGGTCTTGTCGCGCAAATCCCATGTTGGAGGGACAAGAAATATGGCAGCACACATTTAAATTAAATTTTAATGTAAAAAGGAGATATTTCATTTTTGGTCGTCTAAAAAGTTGATATTTGATAGTAGATACTTCTACTCTTTCACATATTTGACGCCTGTCTCTATATATTTTGTCCCTCCAAACGATCCCAGAATGCACTGTGATCTCTTTTGGGAAAAGGCTAATTAATTAACGGATTATTGTTAAAATAATCGATTTGGCAAAGATATGAGAAAAAAAATCGATTAATTTCATGGAGGAAAGTCTAAGCCGGAAAATCTCTCTAATGAAAATATGCGCATCACCACCTTAACTTATCTGTATTCCTGTTTGGGTATACCTGCATGTGCAGTATTTATAATATTCTAGTCGGTCTCACCGATGTTTATACTATCTATTTCACTGCTATACATCACCGTTCTTCAACGCCTGACTTCTAGATGTAGTCATACCAGTCTGATAGCCGTTATTATTGTTATGAAGCGACTCGTGGCATTTTAAAAGTTCACTAAGATATGTTTGGAAGGAATTTAGAGCGGCGTTAAACGCGGGTGTGCCAAAGCCATGTGTGACCAGGCCAAAATGGGTTAGTCCTTTTAGGACGGATTCCGGTAGTGTACTGTTTGATAGACGACTTGTGGGATAGGGATCTTGTCCTAGGACATCTTGGAGTTCTTTGGTTATTTGCCTAAACATAAAGTGAGCAATCATTGTAAAACGAGTATCATGGTTTATACATTATACTGCAATGCTTATGCGTCCTACATTGTTTGGGCCAATTGTTTAAAGCTGCATGGGTTAGCTTAACCTAAGTTAACCTAAAATTCAAAGGAAACTTTCCGACACCTTGTTTATAAACTTGGAAATATTTCTTTAGAGATCTTGTCTGAATTTTCTTCTCTGAAGTTTTGAAATAAACAGACGTGCAGAAATACATTAACTAAAACAGCGGGTTAAATTTTAACCGAGTGTTAGCGCTAATCCAGCTTTGAACAACCTGCCCCTTGTCAAGAAAAGAAGAAGCTGGCATTCATTGGGTTAACCCGAGCATTTATTTTCCTATGGCGCCCAACGTCGATACGCTATATGCCGCAATGCGCCCCATGTTGCTTGTCAAACCTATTTTGACCAATTCAGCTACAATGGCCACTCCTTGTCAAGAATAAGAATGTGGCCTTCAATGATTAACCAGAGTGTTTATTTTCCTCATGCCTATTTTAAACAATTCAGCTACAATACTGCCTAATGCGCCCTCCTTGTCAAGAAGAAGAAGATGCCCTTCAATGATTAACCAGAGTGTTTATTTTCCTCATGCTTATTTTAAACAATTCAGCTACAATGCCCACTCCTTGTCAAGAAGAAGAAGATGCCCTTCAATGATTAACCAGAGTGTTTATTTTCCTCATGCTTATTTTAAACAATTCAGCTACAATACGCCCTAATGCGCCCTCCTTGACAAGAAGAAGAAGATGCCCTTCAATGATTAACCAGAGTATTTGTTTTCCTCATGCTTATTTTAAACAATTCAGCTACAATGCCCACTCCTTGTCAAGAAGAAGAAGATGCCCTTCAATGATTAACCAGAGTATTTATTTTCCTCATGCTTATTTTAAACAATTCAGCTACAATGCCCACTCCTTGACAAGAAGAAGAAGATGCCCTTCAATGATTAACCAGAGTATTTGTTTTCCTCATGTTTATTTTAAACAATTCGGCTACAATGCGCCCTCCTTGTCAAGAAGAAGAAGATGCCCTTCAATGATTAACCAGAGTATTTGTTTTCCTCATGCTTATTTTAAACAATTCAGCTACAATGCCCACTCCTTGTCAAGAAGAAGAAGATGCCCTTCAATGATTAACCAGAGTATTTATTTTCCTCATGCTTATTTTAAACAATTCAGCTACAATGCCCACTCCTTGACAAGAAGAAGAAGATGCCCTTCAATGATTAACCAGAGTATTTGTTTTCCTCATGTTTATTTTAAACAATTCGGCTACAATGCGCCCTCCTTGTCAAGAAGAAGAAGATGCCCTTCAATGATTAACCAGAGTATTTGTTTTCCTCATGCTTATTTTAAACAATTCAGCTACAATGCCCACTCCTTGTCAAGAAGAAGAAGATGCCCTTCAATGATTAACCAGAGTATTTATTTTCCTCATGCTTATTTTAAACAATTCAGCTACAATGCCCACTCCTTGACAAGAAGAAGAAGATGCCCTTCAATGATTAACCAGAGTATTTGTTTTCCTCATGTTTATTTTAAACAATTCGGCTACAATGCGCCCTCCTTGTCAAGAAGAAGAAGATGCCCTTCAATGATTAACCAGAGTATTTGTTTTCCTCATGCTTATTTTAAACAATTCAGCTACAATGCCCACTCCTTGTCAAGAAGAAGAAGATGCCCTTCAATAATTAACCCGAGTATTTATTTTCCTCATGCCTATTTTAAACAATTCAGACGTATATTTATTTATATTTATTCAACATACATAAAATCCACACTCGAAATTTCCATCTACGGTTATATCGACTGCAACCTCGCAAACCAGGCTCTCTACTTCCTCTTCCTTCTGGAGCGTGTTTGGAAGGGAAGCGGAAATTCACTTTTTCCGGTGGGGGGGGGGGGCAAAGCCTCCTAAATTTCCGACAAAACTTTCAAATTTCCGACATACCCCCCATTTGCACTCGAAAAGACTGTTTTTATCCCTCTTTTAGGTCAACCCCCTCCGCCCCACCAAGATTTCCGCCACTGGTGTTTGGGAGGGAAGCGGAAGTAGAGAGCCCAGCTTGCGAAGTTGTATCGACTGTGGATGTCCAAATCCTGAGAATTATTGACACTGTAGTTTTTAACCACTCGATATTTACTTACTTGCAAGCAAGTATGGCACTCTTTCTTGTTTCATATTCAGCAGTTTCTTTCTGTGTTTTGGCTACATGCTCTGATAATGCTTGAGTCGGAAACTCGGATACACACACATAGTCGAAATCACCAGCTAAATGAGCCGCCTCGCCTACAAAATAATAGAGAAATTTTAAAATGTATCATGGAAAAAGCATGAACTTCCAGAAAATAGACTAAAAGCTGGTTAATATTGCGCGAGTTCGCGGTCTTTAAATTGGTTCACAGAAATTATAGTGACTGTTTCACACTTTGATTATCACATTCAACTGTAGTTTGTAGTGAGTATACGAGAGTCCCAGTTGACCTGATATTCCCAGCAGCTCCTCTTATATGTACACAGTCATCTTTTGCTGTGGACGATTTCCAGCGATCATATCCCTTCGGAAATATTTCGGTTGTTGGCAACGGCTACTGTTGCAGGTGGCAGATAAAGTAGAAGAGAGATTCAGATTTCACTGGCTTAGTGCGCATCTGATTGGTTAATCGGATATATCAAACGCATCTGATTGGCTACTTGTTCCAAATCTGAACCTCACTAATAGCGAACTGCCCCTTCCCGCTGAGTTAGCTTGCTACTGAAGGTCGAGGTAACTTAGGATGATGTATGATTGCTACAATATGCGCAGATTTGATATGCTGGAAAACTCGTGGGAGGAAACCGGAGCGCCCCACGACTTTCAGCAGATCGTTGACTCTTTTCACATCTGTTTCGTGGGTTTTCTCCGGGTCCTCATGTTTTGCTCCCCCACCTAAAACTAACCCTTCCTCCTCAGCTATGCACTGTGATCAGACATTGGTGGTATGGTGATATAACCAGAGTCGCCCGTAGTAAGCCCTCGATACGGTCGTGTTTGAGTTGCCTCCCTACAGGATGATAAGCACCCCCTTACTTTAGTTTGTAGGATACATAGCAAAAGATGCATTAGAATTCTTACGTCGTAATGATCCTTACCTTCTACTAATGATGTTAACAAAGTGACTTGTGCAGCTTTCCTTCGTCCGGCTGGTAATGATAAACCTATTTTTTCTAATTTTTCCCGCAGACATTTACCACCATTTTTCGATTTTGCTCTAAAACACAAAAGAATGAGAATAAATGACGCGCTCGATACGCAAATCGCACGTCTATCTGCACGTGCTACGACGAGTCGCACACGTAAAACGCACAAGTTGTAACAAACCTGCAGCAGACTTGTAGCAATGTTGTTCTGACAACTTGTCATCAGGATGTGTTCGCACTGCTTGTTCCAAGCTTGTTGACAAGTTGTCAACGGTTTGTTGACAACTTGCTGCAAGCCTGTACAAGGCTGTTGAGCTCAACAGACTTGTTACAAGTTGTTCCAACAACTTATTATCGTCCTGCAATTCAACAATTTGTCAACGTTGTTGAATTGCAGGAGACTCAAACATCGTCGCCTGAAGATCGCATTGAGCGTGAAACTCTAGAGTTGTGACTATATTTTAAGTAAATAAAATTGATATTCGCTCTACCTAAAATATGGTATATTGAGCACTCTTTCTACACGGTAAATAGAGAATAATACATGGGTGCGCGGAAATACCAGATTTATTTCGAGTGTTGGACATAATATCTCACGAGTGAGCGCACAACACGAGAAATAAATCTGGTATTTCCAAGCACCCATGTATTTTTCTGTTTATTACATAAAGGACAGTCTTTGAAAAGCGATAATTTTTACAGAAAAGCGATAATTGAGAAGCGATAATTTTCACATGTGAAATTATCATAAATAATCTCACATGTGAGATTATCAGTTTCATCAGTGCTCGAAATCTCTATAAGGCACTATACTTTATATAATAAAATTTGGTATTATAATTCATGCTAAATTAATTATGAAATGGGTCTGCTGGCATAGCATTAGCTTTACCCTTCCCTCAACCCCCTACCCCAACAATTCCAATTGGACCCACCTCCTCAGCACGCCTCCAAGTAACGATGCATTGAGACATTCCGGGTGTGAAAGTCTTCGACGTATTTCTCCTACTGTAACTTTATATTTGGACGTTGAACTGAGGAGCGATAATCGACCTGGGACTGAGCAAAATACATCTGAAGGTTGAACCGGCAGACTTGTATCGATTTCGTCTTTGCTGTCATCGTCTTCAAGTTTGTACTTCACTGAAACGATTGTAATATACCATTCATATGAAAAATGTATTCTTTATACAGTATGTACTATTTACAAATACAACATGAGCGGCCGTGTTGTATCGGATATGCAAACTCGAGCCGACGGCTTGTGAAACGCCTTGATGATGTAGATGAATGATATTTGGTGAGAAAATTGAACCTAAACTCTAAAGTCCTTAACTTGTGTTTTATCATGAATTATTAATGAGTTTCACAAATCAAGAGAAAAACGTGCTACTTAAAGTCCTGATATATAAATTCTTGAAGAACAAAAACACACTTACTATCTCGCGAAAGTCTCGAAGGCGCTTCTAGGGACTACAAAAAGACAAAATAATACAGTTCATATTAATTCATTGAAACAAGCACTTTAGATGTTTCTGCATGGATACAAAAATGTTCTATGCATGGATACGACTAAATTGACAAAGAATGTATGCCTCCCGCCATATGACGTCACAAGTACGCATGTCTTAGTTGGCTGGCGTCATTCGCCACTGTTATCAAGGGTTTGCTGACGTAATGTCTAATCATCTGTGATGATAAAGTTTCTTTGAAATCTTCCTGGAATTTTTTTTTTCAGTTCGTACGTCAGTGATAGTAATTAACACCTTAATTACATACTTTGTAAATTTAACTATTGAAAGATGGGAATGAACGCGAAATATTTTACGGCTAAATGAAACTATCTATATCCATACTAGATAGCAAGAGCAATGGCGTAATGAAGGAAGACGGGGCCCTTAGGCATATTTGGTGTGGGGGCCCCTGATGATCGTTGTCATTGTTTGACTGAGATATACTGTATTTATATTGAATATTTATAGAATGTTCTGGAAAATTCCATGTCAATAACAATAACAGTCTCCAACACATGCATGTAACAACTATAAATAAGAATAACTTTTGTTTTATTTGCGATGGAATAAAAAATCAGCTACCGTTGTCGATGGAGGCTTTATTATTTAGCATTATTAATTTTGCATTTTCCCATTGATTCTTAACCTGCATTTTTTTACGTTTTGTAATGGGGGTCCCTAACTGTGGGGGCTTCCTAGTTTTTGAACTAACCCTATACCCAATGAGCGTTACGCCACTGCATGAGCAAGAGGAAACTTGAATTAAACTATAACTTCGTTTATATTGCTCTGGTAGTTCTAAAGTGTTCTCTGTGGAGGTTCAGAAAGAGCTATTTATTGATAGTGTACAAACTGTAATTTTATTACATTGGATTGAGGCGAAAATTTAGGCACAATGGTGGGAAGAAACCCGAGCCCCCGGAGAAAACCCACGACTTTCGGCAGAGCCTTGACTGACTCTTTTCACATGAGTCCATAGCGAAAATCAAACTCACGAACTCAGAGGCGAAACACGCCTGCTCTGGTGACTGCGCCACCGAAGCCCATGGTTGGGATGGTTAAGAAGCATGATGGTTGCCATGATTGGGAAGGGTAAGCCCATGGTTGGGATGCTTAAGAAGCATGATGGTTGCCATGATTGGGAAGGGTAAGCCCATGGTTGGGATGGTTAAGAAGCATGGTGGTTGCCATGATTGGGAAGGGTAAGCCCATTGTTGGGATGGTTAAAAAGCATGATGGTTGCCATGATTGGGAAGGGTAAGCCCATGGTTGGGATGGTTAAGAAGCATGATGGTTGCCATGATTGGGAAGGGTAAGCCCATGGTTGGGATGGTTAAGAAGCATGATGGTTGCCATGATTGGGAAGGGTAAGCCCATGGTTGGGATGGTTAAGAAGCATGATGGTTGCCATGATTGGGAAGGGTAAGCCCATGGTTGGGATGGTTAATTAAGAAGCATGATGGTTGCCATGATTGGGAAG